GTGGGGGGGGGGGGGGTTTGTGTTTGTGTGTTTGCGCAACCCTCCCCCAACAATCATTCAATTGTTACGATACTGGACGTTTCCCAAGTGCAATTCACAATGAAAGACAATGCCACCCAATTGCGAAAGAAATGAAAGCACTTGCAAAGAGATAAAGACCAGAGAAGAGAGGGGAAGAAAAAGAAGAAGAAGAAGAAGAAGAAGAAAGAGAAAGAAGAAGTACACCAGCAAGACCAATGACAATTCCCCCCTTCTTTCTCCAACCTCCTCCTCCTCCTTTACTTCACCAATCTTATTCTTCTCACAATAATAATAATAACAATGAATGGATGAACCAGAAAGGTCCAGAATCAATATCCAAAGTTCCCTCTTACTGCTGACTCAACTCCACAACAACAACAACAACAACAACAACAACAACAACAAGCCCACCATAGCTATGGCTTCCCTATTTCAGCCTTCCCTCTCATGCACAGGCTATGGCGGACTGATGAGGGCCCTGCCCTCCTGTACAAAACACAACCCAAAGCAGCTATGGTGTTGCCRATGTCCAAAGGAYAACCCAAGAGCAGCTATGCCGCTGCTGACTGGTCTGTCATGCCTGACTCTGCCTTGAGCTTCCTTGCTGCAGTGCTACCCCAACTGGGGCCTTCCGGATGCAGCGCCCAACAAGGTGATGAAGACGGTGTCCACCATAGTCAGGTAACTGCCTCAACACTCTCCTACAATGCCCCTTCTTCCTCCTCCTCAAGCTGGACTGCTCGCCATAGCCTGGCTGAGCTCCAGCGGTCCCTTCTACCTCCAAGCAGCGCTGTACCTCCAGCGTTGTGCTCCAGCAGCATGTCGCCAATCCTTGCACACCGCAAATGAGGAAGAGCTCTTTGCTCTTCCTGGAGATATAGCGGCCTACTGGCCTCCTGAGCGGTGACTTCCTAGGCCGAGCGGCCTCCCAGCAACCAGTACCTCCTCCCTTTCGGAGGGAAACATCATTGCAGGCTCTGCTATCCTCCGGACAGACCCTAGACCCGGGCTACTTGGACTGTACCAGCCTACCTCTAACCTACAGCCTACCGCTAGTGGGCCTCTAAAGATGTCAATTTTTTGTCTTCTTCTGCTCGGCCTTCAGTACGACACTCATACCACTACTCGAGTGGTACCGTCCTACCTGCTACTCGAGTGTTTTTCCCCTGCTCTAAGTGTCGCGGGCCTACCCCCGCTACTTGACTGTCTACCCCCCCTTCAACCTTGACAGTCACGGCCACAGGTAAGTACTGGCCCTGCGGGGCCTTGCAAACAACAAGTACCCTTGCGGGTCACACACACTCAACCGACAAGCACATAGACAGCCATGCAAAGCAGCAGGCACGCACACACACACACAGACATGGAAATCATAGCAAGGGGGACCTCCAGCGCACGGCGATTGCGGCCGCAGCCGCAGGCGCAGCCCCCGTCGTTGAATCGATTCAACGGGGATTCAACTCCCGTTCAACGGGTTCAACGGGGATACAACGGACGGGGCCGGAGACCAACCCCTGTTTTTTAGTTCACGTCGCCGGCGCTGCGTGCCCGGCGGCCGTTGCGCGCGGTCCGTTGAACCGAGTTCAACGGAAACCGCCCGTTGTATCATTCAACGGTGATTCAACTCGGGTCTTGTGCCCGTTCAACAGGTACAACGAAGTTGAAAAAATCCCGTTGATAGTTGAATGGACACACAGATCACGCTGGCCGAACTCACTGCCGCCATGAAAAGCATGGCCAGAGGCAAATGCCCCGGGCCAGATGGTTTTCCGGTTGAATTTTTCGACAAATTTTGGTCCATATTGGGACCAGATCTGCTAAGGGTATTTAATGCGGTCTTGGAAGGTCATCGGTTGGGAACACGCACTACTGAAGGAGTCATTACACTGCTGTATAAAAAGGGGGATAAGGCGGATGTTAAAAACTACCGCCCCGTCTCACTACTAAATGTAGCGGGAAAGATCCTTGCAAAAATCATGGTTAGACGCCTTTCACCGCTAATGACCAGATTAGTCGCCCCGGAACAGTCCGGGTTTGTCCCCGGGAGATTAGTACTGGATAATGTGATGACCATAACACAAGCAATAGATCTGATCAAGACCATAGACACAAACACTGCAATCATCCTGATAGACTTCGAGAAACCCTATGATCGGGTTAACTGGAACTTCGTTCAGGCAGTCTTAAGAAAAGTAGGGGTGGGTGAGAACTTCCGTAGGTGGGTCGAAGTACTTTACCAAGGATCCCGCGGGAGAGTAGTGGTCAACGACTTCATATCTGACCCCTTCACAATCTCACGGTCGCTCAGGCAGGGTTGCCCTTTGGCTCCCTCGCTCTTTGTGATTCAGATGGAAATACTCCTCAACATGATAAGAACACACCCTCATTACACAGGGCTGAAAGTATCACCACACTATGAACTTAAAGTTTCGGCTTTAGCAGATGACTTCTCAGCGGTATCAGAGAATTCAGTTACCTCTCTCAATGCTCTACGGGAATGCCTCACGGTCTATGAAACGGCATCGGAAATGAAGATAAGTTGGAACAAATCCACAGCACTGACCCCAAAAGGCACCCCTATGGCCGCAGATATCGGTATCAGATCTAAGGCTAGCACAGAGGCAGAAAGGTACCTTGGAATCCTTTTATCTTTTGGAGACTGTATTAAAGAACAAACAAGTATCATTGAAAACCGCATAAGGGATGCGTGCTCAATGAGATCAAAAGTGTCACATCTCTCCCTCTTTGGCAGAGCACTCATAATTAACAGCGCTATCCTCTCCACCTGTTGGTATATTTTATCCTTCAGACCACTTCCCGCTTCATCAGCCCAACTAATTAGACGAATCCTCACTAAGTATCTGTGGAAAGGAGACTCCAACATACCTACCTGCATTAACAAGGTCGCCTGGTGGAAAATTACGGAAAAGAAGTCCCAAGGAGGTCTAGGTATCCTAGACCCAGAGAAACAGAATGACGCTCTGCTGGCCAAATGGCCAGTTAGATTGCTAACTTCTTCAGATATCCAACTATGGATGGAACTGGCTCAGTTAACATTAGCAAAGGATTGGGGTCTCAAGGACCCTGATGCAGTTTGGCAGGCATTGCTAATGCTCCCATTCATCTCATCGGTTAAATCTAACACCTGGCAGCCTATCCTGAAATCATGGGGTAGGATATTACCGTACACATTATCACACCCGTCTGACGCTACAGAAATACTGGACACATGCTTATATGAGAACCCAGCAATTCTTAACTCTTCAGGACTACCATTCTCGGTCTCTAACAAGCCGGGCAATTTTGCTCGCAAGTGGATGCAGCGGGGTATTTGGCAGATCCGCCACTTGGTAGTACACGATACAGGGGAATGGCTCCCTTTGGAAGAACTCAGACACAAGCTAAGGGGACTGCGCAATGTGGAAGGTCACAGAGATGAACTCATCMGGGCCATACCGSCCACATGGCGGACACTTCTCAGAAACAAGGARCAAGACCARCGAGCTGACACGTGGTGGAGACTGGGWAATGATATTTCTACCGTCATACGCATCGACTCAAGGGTCAATCAGACAACAGTCTTCTCCAAGTGGAGAACAGGTAAGACATTTCTGGAGAAAATTGAGGACAATGCTGATATACAATTCAATCAGAGCTGGCAAGAAATAGCGGTTCGGGCAAACGAACATGGAGGCAAGGTGAGATTCTCACTCATATTAGATGGACAGCCGAAGGACAAATGGAGAGTCGACACACAGAGGACAGGTTGGGTATTCTCAGATGAGTCTGCTGAGACTACCACAATCCCGATATCGGAGTACACCCCGCAGATCGGGTACAAGCTACCCTCAAAGGCTACCTCACTGAAGATGAATGTGTCGAGTTCTTGGAAGAAGAAGGAAAGTGGTCTTTCATTCCCAGACCTCACCTCCTTCATCGGGCTACTGCTAAGCATACTGGAAGTAAAGCTAGCAGGCCTGCAGTGGATGCACCTCCACTCGTGCGTTCCTACTGCAGCATGGTGTGCTGAGAGAGGCATGCAGATTTCCCCCTTCTGCGTCACCTATCCTCAGGAATCCTTGGAGGATGCAACTCATCTGTGGTGGGAATGTGTCGTTGCTAGGGGCTTCTGGGAATGGGTTAGTCGAATGTGGTTTGCAGCATACGGTCCAGAAGAAGTCTGGACGAAAGAGTTCATCATGGGAGGAAGTACGAAGAAGGACAACAAAACAGTCATAGCCTACAAGTTCAGAACAGTGGGCTTTTGGATTTTGTGGCTAGCTAGAAGAGAGAKAGTTTTTAAGGATACTACCTGGTCTCAGTATGCAATTAGAAATAAGTTCAAATATGCTATTCGTAATTTGGTTGGCGCAGAATGGAGGAAGGAGAGGACTTCCTGCCATCTGCTCCAGTTAGCAAAAGGGAA